TTTGCATTGTATTATCTGCACCATTTGGAGTTGAACAAGCCCGATGTCTCTTGGCTGAAGTACCAGTCAATTTGACCCACTTTGGTTTGACCTGCTGTTCAAAGTTCTCACAAACAAACAGCCACCATGTTGAATACTCATGGAAGCAGAAACCAGGGGAACAGATGGCGTCTGTGTGTGTGTGTGTGCACATGGCAGTGCTTATTATCAACGGGGTGTGACCTCTGCAAACTTAACCCTACAATTTAGAATTGAAAGTTGCCTCCCTTTAGTGCAAAAAAATGAAAAGGCTGCCTGTTTATCGGGCAGTATGGGAGTTTATTTATGCCACATAAAGCTGGTATAATCAATATATTTATTAACTATGGATTAAATGGCTTTGCGTAATGTGACGGGTCATTCACAGTGACAAACCCACAGAGATCACCCAACTCTGCAGCATCCCCTCAGCCTCTGGTGGATGCGCTTTAGTCATTGCTCAGGTATTAGAGAACTTCCACGAATCATGTTGGTTTGGTTTTACCACCTGCAACTAAAATATTTTAATTCAGTATTACATGTGGCATTTCAGGCACAGTTGGCTGGTGGTTTCAGAGAAACAAAAGCCCTAAAAACCACACAGTTCACTACAGGCACAGCACCAAATGCAAACGGTCAAAGTTTGCAACCTGCAGAGCAGAGCATTTACCAGCCAGGTATTTCCCTCAGGAGTTCATGAAAACCAAAAGTTTAGCTAAAAGAAGAGGGAATGTTTGAATTATAGTAGTTTTCGAATGACTGCCATACGTGATATGCACCAGTCTTGATGCAGGACAGGCATGCACTGATGCAAAATAATAATTCCCCTCATATGCAAGGGTGTTCCCATCTCTGATAAATGCTAATGTTAGTCAGTGTTGCTACATGTGTTAAGAAGTAGCTGTTTGCTAACACATTAAGTTCATAAGGTCAGTGCTCTGTACTCTACCAGGTTGTGTCACCACAGATCAAAGATAAGTAGAGAGTGTAATGTGGCAAACTATCTGTCAGCAACTCCTCTGCTGAAACTCTTAATATTCAGTGTCAGCCTGTGACAGTCGCTGGGAAGCATCAGTGTTATTTTTAGCTTGCATTAGGGATTCAGTTCACATGCGAGGGGACAGATGTTAAAGGGGGACAAGAGGCGAGATGAGTGCAGTCATCCCGAGACGTGAAGCAGGAACACTTTAGTCATCATGTGAATTTAATAAGGCGGGGATTTGTCACAGTTTGGATGCTCCACATGACTCTGCAGACATAATCTGAGCTGAAGGTCAACAAACGCCTTGAATAGAAAACTAAACAAATCCTTTGACTCCAGCTCCTGCACCACAGATGTGGCATTAGAATTACAATTCTGTCTAACGTTGTATTTTTCTCCGTCCTTACACACACACACCTCTCACCAACTTTGTCCTTTTCTTCAAATCAGTGTGTCCAATGGGTGGGGGGGCCACGAGGCTGTACGCCGCCCTGACTCAGACCCTCAGCAGCAGCTCTCCTCTCGCCCTCCCTTCGTCCCACCTGGACCCGCATCCTCCCGTGGACACAAACCTGGATCCAGCTTTCTGCCAGGTGACTCCTTCTCTTCTGTTCACAGTTTTCAGTAGTAATCTGCCTCCTGAGGGGAAATGAAGGTAACCGTGTCAGGTCTGTCTTGCAGGAGCAGAAGGTGTCCGATCCAGTGGAGCTGCTTCGACAGTGTGAGGAGGCCCTCGGGGACAGACCACCTCGCTTCCACAGGAAGTTCACTCACATCAGTGATGGAGACAGCGCCCCCAGCAGCCCCATCAGGGTGATGCAGTGGAACATACTGGCCCAAGGTAGACTGCTTTTAGTTTTCTATCGCATCACACTGACACATTTTAACAGTTCTATAACAAAGTTCATTTTGGATGTGTTAGATTCAGTGACGTATGATGATACAAGTGGTTTTTAAATTGTGTGCCAGTCCTTATTCCTGGTAATCAAACACACAGTGAAGTTTGAGAAATCAGGTCTCTTCCCTCCATTTGCTTCTATTCAATCTTGTGCCAGTTAAAGCTGCACCAGTCAGTGTTTTTATATTCTTCTGTTATGAATTAGCGCTATACAAATAAAATTTAATTGAATTGAATATTAACAATGGGATTAAAAGACTGTGAAATCTCGTAGTGATGAGCCCTCAAATAATTGTCACCTTTTTGCAGTTTCCTTCATCTCTAGAGAGCATTTTAGCCTTGTTCAGGTCATTGTTTTGGTTCTGCGTCCCACAAATCTGCTGTTCTGATTCACTCAGTTTCCAGTCACAGCAGAGAAAAATCTCCATTAAACCACTGTACACCACTCGCCTCCAAACAGCAGACAACGTTAGCAATTAGTTTAGCTATCTTAAATAGCAACTAGCAAGATAAAACCCAACAAACAGAGCTTAAAGCCAGGTATCAAGAAAGACTACTCCAAAGAAATGCTAATGTTGCTCTTTGTCTGCTGGATGCGTAAATAAGCAACTGTTTGCTAACCTGTTAGCCGTATCAACTTTACAGGGTGACAATCCACCAACACGCCCTGACACTTGCTAACATAAACTGCAGAGTGTTGTTAAGCTACTCGAGGTTAACTCTATACTCAAGTCAGATCTCCCTCTTTCTCCTGTCCTTCAGCTCTGGGCGAGGGACTTGACAGTTTTGTCCAGTGTCCCCCGGAGGCCCTCAGGTGGTCCCGCAGGAAGTACCTCATCTTAGAAGAGATCCTCACCTACCGACCTCATATCCTGTGTCTGCAGGAAGTCGACCACTACTATGACACCTTACAGCCGGTCCTGGCAGGCCTGGGTTACAGCAGCAACTTCTGCCCTAAACCCTGGTCGCCCTGCCTGGATGTGGAGGGCAACAACGGCCCCGACGGCTGCGCGCTGTTCTTCGATCAGTCGCGATACGAGTTCGTGGACAACGCCAACGTACGGCTCTCTGCTATGAGAATTCCAACCAATCAGGTGCGTAGACTCTGCTTAAAGCCACACTTGAGCACATAAAAACCTACTCATTAGCACCTCTAACTCCCTGCTCTCGTGCCTCAGGTTGCTGTGGTGATGATGCTACGCTGTCGGAGCACAGGGAGATGCCTGTGCGTGGCCGCGACTCACCTGAAGGCTCGTTCTGGCTGGGAGTGGCTCCGCAGCGCCCAGGGCTCCGACCTCCTGCGACACCTCCAGAATCTGGTCCAGAAACACGGCAGCGGGCCCACGGGTGCCCCTAACTCTGACATTCCTCTGCTCGTATGTGGCGATTTCAACGCAGTCCCCACTGAGGAGGTGTACCGACGTTTCACAGCGTCGCCACTCGGTTTGGACTCTGCTTATAAGAAACTCAGCCAGGACGGATCGACCGAGCCGGTGTACACGACGTGGAAGATTCGGCCCACAGGGGAATGCTGCACCACTCTGGACTACATCTGGTACAGTCAGGACACACTGAGAGTGGACGCAGTTTTGGACATGCCCACTGAGGAACAGATTGGGCCAAACAGGCTTCCTTCCTTTAGCTATCCGTCAGACCACCTCTCTCTGGTTTGTGACTTCAGCTTTAAGGAGAAGGAGTGAAATGACGTACCGACACACGGGAAGGGACGACGCTGTGGACAGGTCGGATTCACTGAACGAGGAAGCGCACAGAAGAGACGCCACGTCCAAGTGAAAGGGAGAGGATGAAGACGGCACGCCGAGAGTTCATACTGCCAACATACTAGAGTGACTTAGAATAAAGTGTTTGTGCTGTACGTGTGAGGTTCCTATTTGATGACTGTTGCCGTATAGTATCATGTAGATTTACTCCCTCTGATTACACTCTTGTTGGTTTGCTAATCACTTGGTGGACCGGGAATTAAAGGGTCGCTTCACCTAAATCACCCACTGATCGTGGTCTCTAGCGATTCACATAGCTCTGTTTTTATTTGTCGAGGTCCACCCCGATTTAATAGAGTTTAGGGCTACAGCTAACGATTATTTATATTTTCTTTATTGATTGATCTGTCGATTATTTTCACCATTAATCATTTAGTCATTAAATGTTAAAACATTTTGAAAATTGCTCATCACAATTTCACAGAACCCAAAGTGATCTCCTCAAATTGCTTCTTTTGTCCCACCAACAGGCCAAAAGCCAAAGATTTACTATCAATAATGGCAAGAAAATCAGCAAATCCTTGAATTTAGGAAGCTGGAACCAGCAGATGTTTGACATGTTTGCTTGGAAAAGGACAGAATTGATTAATTGATGATTAATCGATCGTTTAGTTATCATCAACTAATCGACTGATCGTTGAAGCTCTAACAGTGGTGAATGTAATTCTGTTTGTGGTGCTCAGAGCATTGAAGAACTACGTCTAAAGACTTTACTGCAGTGCGCCCATGAAGAAACAATGTCCTGGTTACTGGAAGAAATAGTCCCTATAAAAACTGCTGACAGCGTGCTCTGGGGTTATCCAGATTAACTGAGTCATTGTTTCTGAAAAGGTACTGCTGTTGCAATGCATTTGTTTAACGCTTTGAGCAACACAAACTAAATTCCATTCACCTCCATTTTATCGGACCGGTGTAAATATAATCAAAGCTATCTGCATAGCCAGATACCAGGAAGTGTATTCTGTAATTTGGCTGAATTGACCCTTTAAAAGGTCACTTTAATGCCACTCATTCTGGAAAATCCTCTAAATGCCTAATGAATTACAGATCATTACTTATTAACTGGAGGTTCACATGGGAACAGGTCTATTTAACTGGATACACTGCACCAGACAGCCCAGAGACTGGCAGAACATTGGCCATTAGGATGGGAAATAAAGTCTCTCTATACAGTGTCAGAACTGTCATTTACCACCTGTTGGCACATTACACTGTATGTGCTCACCTTACAGTATGTCAAACAGAAACACTGTTTTTAAAGGTCACACAAACTAGAATATCAAAGGCTACTTCAGAGTTTCAACATGAGTTCATGAACATTTTAGCTACAGCACAAGTGAATCCCACCCTGATTTATCTTGGTTCTGTAAAGTCAACTGGGTGGAAGAACGTGCAAAAGGAACCACAGAAACAGTCTGCACGCGATAGAAAATAAATGTTATCTGTATTTAACCTCCAAACATCAATGTTAAACTAAAAAACTGTAAAACAAATGCATAAAACCACGATGAAAACGACAGCTGTGAGGTTTCAAATGTCTTTTTATATATTTCAGTAAAATCTAATACACTTTGAAACAAGAGTACAGCAAAATAGAATATACTTCAAATGTTGAATATACAAACAGTTCAGTCTGAACACAAACATCTTTCCTCTTTTTAGATACAAAAAAAATAAAGTATAGGGGCAGGGCCAAAACGGCAAAAGAAATAAAAAGTATGCTGGCAAATTGACCCTCTGTTTTAAACCAAAAGTAAAGTGACCTGGGATCCACAGTGGTTTGAGAATTCTTGCAGCCATTTTGCATAAACTTCTGATTTTCAATGCCTCTCTTTCAATAATTAAAACAATTGCTTCATTTTATTCTCGATCCGAGTTTACATACATTCCTTTTTGGAGACATTCAGCTTTCCATGCAGCCAGACTCAGTTGGGTTGTGACAAGAACAAACGTCTGTCAAAAAGTGAAAGAATTGAGTGATAGCCAAGATCCTTTTTTATAAAAGTCTGAAATTCAATTCTAGAGATTTCCCTAGATGCCGGAGGGCACACTGCAAGCAACCTGGCCACTGATCTAAAACATGTTGCTGTTTCTTCTGTAAGATTCAATCTACATGAGCGTTTACCAGCCTGATAGAGACAGAGGAACTAATAATAATACAAATATTGGTTCCCCTAATTTCAATAATACTGTGCTTGGTGCGAAGGTAGCAAAACAACAAAAACAAATTTCAGCTTACTGTTCAGACAATACATGAAAAAAAAAGTCAAAATTAAAATCTAAGGCTGTTCTGTTAACTTTAGCTCTGTAAACTGTATAGTAGATAATATATATATATATATATGTACATACATGACCATTTTCTGTCTGATATCGTTCCTTGTTAAGAGCTTCTTATAACTCCACTTCCTCTCACACTTTTAGGACTCGCATAGCACCACCCCCACTGGATCTGCACAGTGATACAAGTTTTTAAAAAAAATTTAAGTTGCTGGTTTTAGCATCTGTAGAGACAAAATGATAAATGTTTCTACAAAATCTTCATTAACCCCCTCACCCCCACTGAGTCTACTTGTTTTTTTATTCGATAGTTCACATTTTGGTTAGTTGTAATTATTTGCCTCGTTTTGTAGTGTTTCAAGGTTGTTTTTTTTGTATTTTCAAGGTTCTTTCCTTTTACCCCCCAAATTTAAGTCAGTTATAGCGATCCATTTAGAAGGCATGAATTGTAGTGATCAAGGTTGGTCCCTTTACCTTTCCCAACAAGTTCCTTTAAAGTCTGTGTTTGAACCCTGTACATGACACTCAGAGGTTTCAGTGTGGTTCTGAGGGAGACCGGCTTAGTTCAGTAAAGTTCTAGGCAGCAACAGGGGAAGATGTGAGGACAGGTTCAGGACTAAAAACAGGCCTTCAGGAGTCTTTAAAGTCTCACAGACTGCTGCTGGTTATTACAAGAGTAAAAATTACGTCAGACATGTACAAACGAACCCTCTCTGACAGAAGGAAAAGATGGATATCGGTAGACTGGTGCATTTCAACACTCTGGCTCTTCCGTCTTTATCGTCATGTCGGGTGTTTCCAGTTTGATAACCACCTCGGCGTCCACAGCCTCTGATGTTTTGGGATTCATCTGGTTTTGCTGGACTGCGACTGCCACTGGCACTTGCACAGCTTGGACCTGGACCCCCGCGGCCTTCAGCTTCTCCACCGCGACCGCTCCGCTTGCTGGTGCTCCTATCACCAGCTCCGAACCGTTAATGACGCCGCTTATGATCCGAGGCTGTGCCATCACCGTCTGATTGGCTGTCGATACCGTTACAACCCCCGTCCCGCTACCCGGCTGTGACACCACCAGAGTCTGTTGTTGCGTCTGCGTCGGTACGGTGAGTCTCATCACTTGGGTTCCCGGGGCGACGTTGACAGGTGCCAGGGCCCGGACCGTCAGGGGGCCCCCCAA